TTTGGAGGGCAGGCCACTAAGGAGGTGTTGGAACGTGGCCCTGAGGCACGTGTCCAGGACAGAAAAAGGCAGCCACTTTTTCTGAGAAGCAGAATCAGGAAGGGGAAGGAGCCTTGACCTCGAATTTCCTCTAGACCTATGTCAATGGTGATGAAAACGCAGCTTAGAATACGAGTTCTGGTTGAGATAAACACGTCCCCTGTTCTGGAAGGAGAACGCTGTTTCTGAACCTTTCCCCCAGGGGAACTCAGTTCCTTACCGTGTGAAGGTGGACTTTTATTTTTTGGCCAGAAGTGTCCATTTAGCTACAGGGAGCAGTAGCCCAGTCCTGGGAAGCCTGCTCCCTGGGAGGACTTACTGCATCTTCTCTGAAGGCAGTGGAATCGTCTCTCCCCACAGTCAGGTCTGGCTCACTTCCCTCCACTCAGCAAACAGCAACACCTGTGCAATCTGGCATCGGGGTCCCACCCAAGAGAATTTTCTAGTTTCTCCTTGAGTTGCCAGAGCTTTGTTTGTAAGCCAACCATTTGGAGAATATAAACGTTTCTAATGTGCACCATACACGTTCTTGCAGCTTTAAATAGCGTATCGGATCCACAATTGAACTTCTCGTTGGTGACTCAGGGTCTCAGGGTCCTCGTTATAAACATGGGGTTCTGCTGGGAGCTGCAACAGAGCTATGCCCCCCAGGCCTGTTAAAGCGGTGTTTTAAAATTTGAAGTGGACACTCATTAGTAGATTGTGAAATAAACTTATTAGGCAAGGTCAGCATCTTCTGAAAAGTAGAATAGAAAATATTGGAGTACATTGCACACAGCGAGAGTAAACATTGTTTGAAATCTCTGTTTCAGTTATGTGTGTGTGTACTGGTCTGCAATGCAAAATGTATTACAGTGGATTGTTGTAAAAAAATTGCAGAATATTGTATTCAAACTTATAAGGCCTGAAATACATCTCTATACAAAATAAAGAAATATTTTTCAAAATGTTTGAATACAACACACAATAAAAAATACTCGCACACAAAGTTTCACAAGAGGGTACTAACCATTACTATACCAGAAATAGAATCATACTCTATTTTTATTTCATTTTCCAAAGGTGCTGGTCACCTCCCACTGAAATGGTTTCACGTCTCTCTAATGGAAACCCAGTTTGAGGAACTGCTAGTTTTTGTGTTTTGTAATTTTCCTGTCTTCTCTGTCAGGAAGATATGACATCTCTCGGGGACTCGATACTTCCAGGGACCCTCTGCGAAGCCCCAGACGCCTTGAAATCCTCCAGCCTCGTTGGTGAGTCTGGCCCATCAAAAACCTGGGCTCCTGGCTCTGTCCTCTCTGGGAGGCTGAGGTGTGCAGACACTTTGTGGCCAAAGTTAATAGCACAAGAGCTTCTGAACCGTCACCCACATAAACGGGGATGGGACACACTTACCTAGGTGACTTGGGGTCCCCATCTGCGCATAGAAACGCCTGAGCAGCTCCTGCTGATCCGCCCTGATAAGTCAGCAGGGGGATCTGTGTCTTCAGAACACCTTGGAAATAAAGGCAAAGGGTGGAGCCGTCAGCCCTGGTGCTGCATTTGGGAATTCATGTTGGCTTTTCCAAAGCTTCCTTGGAAAGCATCATTACTATGACCGAATGACAGCTACCTATAGAATGCTTCATTAGATAAGCCAGCGCTGTGACACAGAGGACACTTAAGTTTATTTTCAGTTTAGGGTAAACCCTAGGGTTGGTGGGTGTGGGGGTGGGATCGGGCTAGTGTCACCAGCCTTGTCGGCCAGCAAACATGCTGCAAGCAGATGCCCACAAGCCCACGTGACTGGAGGCCCATTCTGGCTGGCTGGCATCGTGAGTGTTGGGAACACATTTAGGTGCCTCTGGTGACAGTGAGTAACATGCTAAGCATGTTACATGCATGCTCTCAATTTTCACAACAGTTACATGTGGTAAGAACCACTGTTATCCCCATTTTACAGAGGAGGAAAACTGAGGCTCAGAGATGCTAAATAACTTGGGCAAAGCCAAGTATGTAGGTCACTGTCATGACTCCAGTTCCCAACTTAAGTTCTCCTCTGCTCCCCACCCCCACCCCCCTGACTACCTTTAGCGAAGTTCAAGAAAACAGAGGAAAGGTCCCAGAATCTGGGCCCTGAGTTAGCTACTTGGCATAAAAGTGATTCCAAAGTGAATTTGACTCAGAAATGGCACAACTTTCTAATTACAGTAATAATATGTATTATGGTAAAATATGTGGAACACACAAACAAATCCCAGAGTAAAATAAAATTGATTTGATTCTCATTAACTAAATCACCACATAGTAGTCTGGGGTAAAATCTTTGTGTATTCGCTGGCCCAGGATGAAGTCTTGTCCAGGCTAGACTTGAGGGCCTGGGACAGGGATGGTGGACCCCACCCTCACGATCCTGAAGGTTGTGCAGGAGCTCCTGGTGGCTCCACGGCCAGGCAGTGAGGCCAAGGGGAAGCTTGGGGGCGCTCTGGTCATCCCCCTAATCTCCATCGTCGGCCCCTCATTCTCTCACATAAAGCCAACCCAAGTAAGCATCTTGTCTATGCTACAATCACAAGGCTTCGAGGTAGCTGCTTCCCACCCCAGCTTCCCCACGTTGTCACCCAAGCCCTTCCGGAGCTGTCACGGCCACCTCAGTGGGCCCATGGGGCAAGCTGCAGATGAGGAGCCAGATCACTGACAGATCCCGAAGTGCCCCTGCCGTGGCTCCCTTGAGCCCCTCTCCAGCCCCACCCTCGCCCAGGGGGAAAGACAAGCCGAGGGCAGTGATGTATCAAGGGATAACCCCCAAGCTCATTCTGCATATGACACCTCACCCCAGGGAATGGGGGGGCGGTCACAGCAAGTCGAAAGATCCACCCCCTCTGTGCGCTGTGAGGGGCAGCCTGGGCTGAATACAGCCAAACCACCTGGGTGGGAAGCAGCAGTTCCTGGCTGTGTGCCCTGGGGCTAGCCACCGGACCTCCCTGAGCTTCGGTTTCCCCCTGTGCAGAGCGGGGTTAATCATGCCCCGTCCCAGGACTGCTGTGCACACAGTGGTATGATGTGTGCAAAGCAGTGAGCTTCTTGTTGAGTAAACCCAGCTCTTTCTTATTTCTTTGAAATCGGATTGAGGATTAGAATAGTGGTAAAACAGGGCACCAGGGAGCCGCACCGGGCAGGGAACATAGCGTATCCTGAAGTGGGGCACAGAGAGAGAGAGAGCCCTGAGCGACCAAGGTTGGGGCAAGAGGACACCCCGCCCCTGAGCTCCAAAGAACCAATTTATCCATTTCTGCTCAAGACAGGGAAGAAATGACTGAGCTTTCTTCTTTAAACATTTCCTAGGCTTCAGGAATAAAAAGCACAGAAATCATTGTCATTAAAAGGCCAAATTGCTTCTAGAAAGTGCTGCAAAATCTAAGACAGCAAATTCAAAATTCTAAGGCCTCGTGTGGGCGAGACCCCATTTGAGCTGACGTCCAGTGGGTGCCTCGGGGCCGGCGGTCAGGGGAGCAGGAGGGCAGAGTGGCTTCCGGGGCAGTGGGTGGCTCGAGCACCAGCAGGGCGGTGGTCAGAGGCAAAGGACCACCGGCCTGTGGGCAGCCATTGGCACAGCTGGCTGTCCCTTCTCCTTGGTGACAACGTGGTCTTGGTCCTCCTCCTTCCTCAGTGCTGCTCCTTCTCCGTCTCCCTGCCGACCCCCTCCTCCCCTCCACCTATCTGCGCGGAGCATCCTCGGGCGCCATCCGAGTCCTCCTCTCTGTCCTCACTTGTTCCCTCTGTGATCTCATCCAGTGTCTCGGCTTGAGAGGCCATCAATATGCCAAATGCTCTCTGCTTATTTTTCCAGCCCAGACGGCTCTCCTGAACTCAGCTCCTAGATCCGACTGCCTGCTGCCTTCCCCACATGCGTGTCTAGTAGGTGTCCACACTTTCAGTTACCCAGGCTCAAACTGGTACTCTTTGAAAAAAAATTTTAACTGTAATTGTGGTAAAATAGACATAATGTAAAATTTAGCATCTTATCCATCTTTGAGAGTACAGTTCTCTGGCATGAAGTGCATTCATACTGCTGTGTGAGAATCGCCACCATCCACCCCCAGAACTTTTACATCTTCCCAAACTGAAACTCTGCACCCATTAAACACCGAGTCCCCGCCATTCCCCCCAACCCCAGTCTCCAGCAGCCACCATTCTACTTTCTGCCCCTAGATGTGAATTGCTCTGCGTACCTCATATACATGGAGTCATACAGCATTTGTCTTTTTGTGACAAATGGCTTATTTCACTTGGCATAATGTCCTCAAGGTTCATCTGTGTTGGAGCATGTGTTAGAATTTCTTTCCCTTTTAAGTCGGAGTAATATTCCACAGTATGTATACACTACACTTGGCTTATCATCCGTTCGTTAATGGATGGTTGGGGGCTCCAACCGTTTGCCTACTGTGAACAGTAACTGCTGGGTGTGTAAGTGGGTGTGGAAATACCTGTCTGAGCCCCTGCTTTCAGTTCTTTGGGGTGCATACCCAGGAGTGGGATTGCTGAATCACATAGTATTTTCTATTTTTAATTTTTTGAGGAACTGCCATACTGTTTTCCACAGCGGCCGCCCCATTTCACCTTCCCACCAACAGGGCGCAAGGGTCAGGCCTGCCCCACCCACCGTCTTCCCCACCCCAGTTCGCAGCAACTCCATCCTTTCAGTTACCCTGTCCCAGACCTTAGAGCAATCCTCATTCTTCTATCCCACACCCACAGCCAGTCCACCTGCAAAACAGAGACTCTACCTTCAAAACAGAGACAGACAGGGCTACTTTTCACAGCCTCCACCTGAACCACTCATCTGTTTGAGTCTCCTGAAACCAGAGTCTGAGAAAAGACTTGGGTGCAGGTGGTTTATTGGAGAGATGATCCCAGGGGGCAGGCAGGAGGGGAGAAGGACAGTGAGGGTGGGAAGGAGAAGCCAAGGGGAGGGTTTGTGCATTTTCAGGGTCACTGCTCTAGGCAATGGGGTCTTAGTTCCTCTGGGACGGGGGGCCCTGCACATCTCCAAAGGACAGGAGGTAGGGCACCAGCTCCCGTGCCCCCCACCCAGGTTGAGTTAGCCCCCATACTTCCGGCTGGGGAGTTTTGCAGCGGTTTTTAGAGAATCCCCTGCAGTGTGCTGGCCTGGTCAGGTCTGTGACTCAGAACTTCCACCCCAGCTGAGGCTGAAACCACTGCGGGAAGAAAAGGACTTGCCACAGGGTGCCACCCACCCCAGCCACCCTCGTCTCCTGCCTGCAATAAACTGGCCAGTCTCCTGTTCCTACTCTTGTCCCTGCAGCAACTGGGGGAGACTTTAAAACCTAAGCCAGCACAGGTGGCTCCTAGGGCAGCCCAGCTGCTCACAGTGGTCCCGTGACCCTGTCCCCCATCCAGCTTCTCTCCTCCTCATCCACTCCAGGCCAGTCGACTGGCTGGTGCCCATTCTTAAACCTGCTGGGCCCCGACTCTACCTAACAGCCCCCGCCCTGGCCATTGCCACGGCCAGGGACACTCCTCCTTCAGCCAGCCCGGGCCCCACTCCTTCACATGCTTCATGTCTTGCTCACATGGCACCCTCTCCCCAAGGCCTTCCCTGACCATCTTGTTTACGATAGCAGCTTACCCTCCCACCTCAGCCCGACACTCCCCGCTCCCCTGGTCCTGGCCCACTGTCCCCCAGAGCGTCTCACCTCTAACACCCTATACATACGTCCTAGATCTCTGTCCTTTGTTGTTCATTACCTGTCACACTCCTGGCAGTCTTGCTCACCGATGGATCTCACGAGCCTTATATCACACCTGGCCCAGAGTAGGTACTCAATACACACCCTTTTGAGTGAATTGGATTCTGTATGTCCAGACACGGCCTTTTCACAACTTTCAGTGTAACAGGTGCTTTAGGGTCCACCTTATTGGGGGTGAAGCCCTTTTTAGAGGCCAAAAGGAGAAAATACTTCTCTGAAAAATACATTTTGAGGGAGGAAGACAGACAGGCAGTGGGAAGCAGGGTAGCTAGGCTCCCTGCGGATGCCTGAGTGGCGCAGAGCGGAGGAGAGACCAGGAGTTCATCCTGCCCCGAGACCCTCCTTGGCACACCCACAGCGGCAGCCCAACCTCGTGTCAGCAGCACTTCCGGCCCTGAGGCCCGTCTGGGCGCTCCGGGAACCTGGGCAGCACAGGGCATCCCTGCCCATTTGGGCCATGAGACACAGCTGTCTCAGCCTCTCAACCACTCTGTTCTCTACCACCCCACCCCGAGCTCAGGGGTCCAGGGTTGTCCCTGGTTGCTGAGAGTTCTCTGCAGGTCACCCCTGCCTCTCACAGGGAGGGCGGCACGTACACAGGTGGGATCATAGAGCCTGGTGGGCCTGGGTTCAAATTCCAGCTCATCATCATTCCCACCTGGGTAAATCCTCTGGACCTCTCAGAGCCTCAGTCTCTTCATCTATAAAATGGGGATAACACTGTTTATATCAAAGAGTTGTTCTCAGCATTAGGGAAAATGCCTCGTGTCGAGTGCATGCACTGTGCCTGGCTTCCACAAACGCTGAGTCCCGCCCTCCTCCTGCCCATAGAGGCCCGTTGGGGACAGGGAACCCCCTCCTTTCACTGCCCACCTTGCTCTACAGCCTCGTCAACCAGCTTCTTGTACAAACTCAAGGCTCTCCGGTCAACGACCATGCAGACCCTCTTCTCCAAGGCCTGCAGGAAGGCGGCCAGAGCCACAGCTCCTGGTGGGCCGTCCGTCTCCTCCGGAGGCTCGTGGTTAAAGTGCGTGGGGAGGCCGGTGGTGAGGAGCAGGGAGCGGGCGTGGGACAGCGACAGAGAGGCCCGCAGCAGTTCGTCTGGGCGGAGCAGGTGCCTGATTCCCCGGCTGCCTAAAGTTACAAAAAGTAAAATCACAGAATCACTTGGTTGTGTTTCAGGTAGAAACTTACACAGTTTGGTTTTCCTATCTGTTTTTATTGCAGAAGTGGGTCTGAGGGGTGAGACAGAGCTGGAAAACTGTCCACCAGAATGTGCTTTCTTTCCAGCCCAGTCAAAAGAGTGGCTGGGAAAGTGGCCACAGGCCAGGTCCTCTCTATGTGACAGTCGGAGAGGGGTGGAAAGGGAATGTGAGTGGAAGCCATGTGGCCTCCTCAGGGCCTAGCCACATACCTCCCAGGCACCCCTCCAAGCCTGCCCTCCCTGGGGTCTGGGATGCTGACAGCTAGCGCCCCCTGGGGGTCTCAGGATGTGATGGCAGAGCGGCTGGGTCCCTGAGCGACCTGGCGTAGATCCCCCTTCCTGCTGAGCTGGAACACTCACCCGGAGGCCCCCCCGGACTGCTGAGAGAGGGGCACACATTTCTACTGTCTTCTTGGGGATTATTTGCGATAGCAGTTTAGCAAACTCTAACCAGGGAGTACAGAAGGAGGAAGGGAAACGGGACTGTCTTAATTAGGGATTCCTCAAAAGCAGACCCTAAGACAAGGGCTTGGGTGCAGGTATCTCAGTGTACAGTGAGCCCAGGAAAGAAGTCAGAAGATGGAGGACGTGGGATAGGACAGGGAAAAAGCCATGAAACAATGTGTGAGTGAGCAGGTTAACTCCGAAGGCGGCTGGGGCTCTATCCTGCCCGAGAGCCTCTGAGGGACGTGTGGTGCACACCCCAGGACTGTCCTGCCCGCTGGACATTCACCAGCTCCCGTCCCGGCGGGCGGAGGCTGTGGGCACTCCTGGGCTGTGCTCTGGAGGAGCAGCAGAGAGACCTGAGGCCCAGGTGGGAAGCTGCTGTGCTGGGAACTGCCCACAGCAGCTGCTGTGACCCCGGGCCCCCCGCTGCATCTGCTACAGAGGCCACCGTGGCCGCCAAGCCAGTCCCAGAAGGCAGCACAGCCTCTGACAGCCATCACATACCACTGTGCCTTTGGACGGGCTCAGGTCACCTCAGGGCATATCGAGTGAGGGCGGGATGTGACTAAGAACTGCCACCCCAGCTGTGGCTGAAACGATGTCTGGGGACGTCAGCTTGGCATCTGAGGTGCCTGGACAACATGGAGGAACATGGGGCTTGGATTGTGCTTGTGGAGGAACAGCTCCACATCTAGAATCTGGAAGCTCACACTCCAGTCCAGGCGCTGGCACCCTGTAGCTCTGTGACCTTGGCCTTGTCCCTTGATTGCTCTGAACCTCAGTTTTCCTACGTGGAGCTTGGGGTGATCCAGGTGGAGGAAGGCTATGCCAGTGGGAGCGGAAATGGGAACACCTGTCTGGAGTGTGACTAGTACCTTAGATTTGTCCACCGCACTGGAGCCAGCAACTCACTTATCCTAACAAAGTGATCAAGGGTAGCTATGCAAACATAGTCACGAGGATGTTCACGGCAGCGCTGTGCATGGTGTCAAATAATAGGACATTAATAAAAGGGTAGAACATTTGTAAAGAAAACATCGGAAAGTAACCGATTTCACAGGATGCGGTGGGCAGCAGTAGAGAGAGGAGGGGAAGAGAACCTTGTCAGCTTGGACGCAGTCTCTCCCTCTGTGAGGACTGTTACTAGTGCAGTCTTCAGGATTATAAACCTGGTATTTCTTCATATTCTCCAGGCCCTCCAATGCCAGCCAACATCCTCTCAAAAATGACTGAGTGGCTCTATTATTACACTCAGGGAGTAGCGCTCAGAACCCTGCCATCAATCTTACATTTGCTTACTTAATATAGTGGGGATCAAAAGCATCTGTTGTTCCTAAGGATTAAAGATGTTCCCTCATAGGCGATATTGGCATCTCTGGACAGTCATAAATCTGCCCTTTCCCTGAGCCTCGTGCTTCAAGCTTGGACACACAGTCCACACAAGCACTGAAGGGGGTTACTGTGGGAGACCCCCCAGATCATTCTGATTAAGCCATGGGAGCATTGGTGTCTGCCATAAATTTACATCCCAGGTACTTTTTTAATCTGAGCTGATGGCAGAGTTAATACTTCATCTTCCCTCATGACCCTTGTACTGAGCAGGAGAGCCGTCAGCCTGGGTAAAAATGTTTGTGAGACACTGCATCAGAGAATTAAAAAAAAATATCCTCCAAGGAAATCAACTACGTAAGAGACTCTGTGTGACACAGCTGTGAGCCGTCACCTCCATGAATGCACGTGGTCCGGGCAGATGGCCCAAATTTACTGTGTGTTTGTATGTAAAGGAAACTGTGTTCTCTGCAGAAGGAATGAATGAATGAGTGAATGAAGGAACACCCTAACAGACAAATGAGCCAAAAGCTATATGCCCTGTGGTTTCACAGGAAGTCTGGTTACCGTGGACCCCCTGTCACTGAGGGGCAACCTTTGCTCCCAGGGCCCCAGGGAAGAGAGCAGACGTCTTTTAGGCTGGTCTGCACTGTCAGATTCTGGGCCCAGTGCTGGCCACACCCAAGGGCACCAAGGCTCTCTGCTCTACAACCCAGCCCAGGTGGTCTTCTCTGTAGGTGGCTGCCACACCAAGGTCATCATGCTCAGCTCTGTCTGGGGCCTGGGGCCTGGCCTGTAGGGTTAAACTCCCCAGCTGGCCACACCCCTCTGCTGTCCGCAGGGCCCTCACCACCACTGAGCAGGTCTCTGCTTGGGAAACGGACGGCAGATGAGCCAGCAGGGAGGCCAGGTATGCCTTCCCCAGACGTTCAGCGTGCACGGGACTCGCAGGTCTAGGATCACAGTCCATGAGAAGGTGCAGACAAGGGAATGGGGTGTGAGCTGGGAGGACAATTCTAACTACCCAGGGAGGCTGTGACATACCATGCAGACTCAGACCTCAATTTCTCCCGTACCTACTGATCATGGGCCTTGGCTCAGTGGGCGTGGGTTCAAGTTCTGCCTCAACTGTCTACTACGTATGTGGACTTGGGCAAGTTTCTTAACCTCATAGCTTCCTCATAGGGTCGCTGGGAGAACTTAGTAAGATGAAGCATGTAAATGCTTTAAACATATGCTTGGCCTGGAGAAAACTCAGTAGATGATAGCCACTATTCTTATTGCCTGTTATTCTTATAACCCCCTAGAGGGAGGAGTAATTGTCATCACCCCAGAAAACAGATGGGGAGTGTGTGTGAACCTTTGTTCTCTCCGGAGCCTTTGCCAGCAAACGAATCAAATTTTATATGCACGATGGCGCCCTCTGCTGGCTGCCCAGGATTAGCATTTCGGTTCTAAAATGAAGCAGTGCAAGTTCAAAGCCCCTCAAGCCGTTTTCAGCAAACCTCCTCCTAACTGGAACCTGCAGACCCCTAGGAGACCCCACCAGCCCTGTCTCATGTCTAGAAAGGCAGAGGCTTGCAAACCTCAGGAGGGCTGTCCTCTGAGACTCCGTATACAACATACATGTTGGCTACAAACTGTTGTGAGGCTGTCTTTCTGCAGATCCCACCCAACCAGGATCCCCCAAGGAGGAACTGTTCAGCCCTCCACCCCTCTCCCTGTTGCCTGGTACACAAAACCGGTCCACACCCAACCCCAGGGCAATGGCATAAAAGAGGAAGATTAGGGACATCATTGAATAACTGATGACTTGGCTTCACTGGTGGCAGTTGACGCCTAGGAACCATTCTCCGTCTTTCTTCCCTACCCAACCTCAATTTAGTTCTGGGTGGCAATGTGCCCAGCTAATAATTAGTTCACCTCCTAAACTCCCTCACATATTTAGTGTTGAAAATTAGGGGGAAAACATAAAGTCGGAAACCAAAATCATCCACAATCACACTCCCCAGAGATCATCACCATCAGTATTTTGGTGCACTGACTTCTTTTTGGGATTCATACACACTATCAGCATTTAAAAGATCATATTGCAGACACAGTCTGCATGCCACCTTTCACTGAACGGGGACATCAGTGGTGACTTTCTGCAGGCCTTTGGGGTGTGATTGCTTGGCTTCTGACCTGGGTCTACAGCAATCATTGTCTCCAGTTCTCTGATCTTCCGAACAGCTGAAGCTGATGCCATGCTATAGTGCAAAGGATCCTGGGAAATGTGATGGACCTCTGGCATTCCCTCAGGGGTGAGGCATCTGGCCGGAGCCGCTGGACCCTTCAGGTCAGTCATCACTGTGCAACCCGGTGCGCTGGTGAAAGCCAGTGGGGTCACTACGACACACAACAGGAAGGATTAAGCCCAGCCACTTATCAAACCCTGTCCATTCCCATCTGGCCCACCACTGATGGGAAAGATGGCGTCCATACCTCCAGTCAGCCAACAGCACTCCCTATACCACTTGTTGGCATTGGGTCAGAACAAGCTAGCTTATGGCTAAATCAAGTTTCATCTAAATAGGGGCCCCTGATTTTTAGGCAAGTGAAGGTGGGTAGAGTGTGGGAAAAGAAGGGAGGTGCCCACAGCTACAAATGGGGCTCTAGGAGTTTCCACCAATGTAATCCCACAGATATCAGAAAGTACTTACTGAACTCAACAATGCATCAGGCCACCTTGCTTTACTTTGCAGCAGATGTTAGATTTGCTGACAAATAGCTCTCTCTCTGAACGTAGCCTGTATTTTTCTCATAGCCCATATATTTAGCTTTGGTTTATGCTAATTTTGTTCTTTTAAAAACTGTCCCCTACTAGATTCCAGGCAGCGTGACGCGCTGTAGCATAGTTATTAAGAACATGGCTTTAGCACGGTGTACACACTGGAGCTTGAGATGCAACTTAATCCTCCTTAAACCTGTTTCCTCAACTATAAAATAATGATACTGCCTTATATGGTTGTTGTCAGATCATAACTGGAAAATGCACATAAAAGTGTTTAGCCAAGTATGCTGGTCCAGTGTAAGCCCTCAGTAAGCAGTGGTTTGCATTACTGAGCCAGAGCTGTATCTTATTCACTCTTAGGTCTTTGTGCCGACTAGGTGCTTAATTCTCCATATATTTAATTTTGACCTTTCCTTCAGTGTCATTATTGTCCTTGAGAACTCTAACCCCACTCAGCTACATGTTCCCTGAGAAGAGGGAACATTGCTTATTCATCTCACAAAGGCACACAATAGGTGCTCAATAAATGCAGATATGAATTGAGTTAATAACATCTTGGATTTCACAGAAAACAGTAAAATTTCTCAGATCTAACAGAAAGCCATAGTCAGCCAACATTTCAGAAGGAAAACCTACTGATGTGCGTCAACATTCTAGTTCAACTTTCAGCCAAGATATAAAGGGGGAGAACTAAGGACTAATGAATGCAATCGTAGTTCTTCTGTTTCAGACAGAACCTAAACTTGGTCACTCTAAAGCCAGGTACACATCAGAACGGTCAGCTTGGAGGGTGACACGGGATTTTGCCCTACCAGCTGTGAGACATGCAGCAATTAATCGATTGCATTAGGAGTTTCAATATGTACGTTTGAGCATGATATGGTAAATTAGAAAGATTCAAGGTTGTCCCTGACCAATGATGTCATTTGTTCTCATTTACAATCAAACCTGCTATCACAAGTCAGGACTGAAGGGCGATCCTGTGCTGGGAAGCCGGCAGCAGGGAGAATTCTTCTGCAGGGCCTCTCCCTGGCAGGTGGCAGGGGAGGAGTGAGGTCACCGGGCAGAAGGATGCTGACTCCAGGTGTGTGGACGTGTGTACACAAGGGAGTGCACACACACTCGGAAACGATCACAGGCTGGCTCCCTGGGAACTGCATCGTGTTTCCTGCAGCATTTTACGCCTAAGACCTGGGCCTAAGATGCCTGGTACAGAGCAGGTTCCCAATACATTTATGTGAAATAAACAAATGACTAGAATCCTGTGGGTCCCGGTGTTTACGCAGCATCACCGTATGTTAGAGATAATCTTCCCCTATCATGAGGCCATTCTGATAGCTAAACTTCCGTGAATCCTTTAAAAATAAATTGAAAGTAGCACTAAATTATATTATCTGTAGTGCAATCCAGGCTGACCTGGCTAGAATTTTCCTCTGTCTATGGCGATGGGCTGCAATAATTATTATTTTTAATGTCTCTGTCACATCCCTACCTTACTGTGAGCTAGTTAGGGCGCCCTCATGTGTTGCTTCATTGCAATATCACCCTAGGCCTTTGGAAAAATGGACTGACAGTATGGGTCTCAAATAACCTTGCAAAAGCCACGTGAACTGCTTTGTTTAGTTGTGTTGTTTGCCTTCACCTTTGTTTTCAAAGCCCCACCAACCTCCAAAATGTCTCAAGAGGTCTTGCTAGACATTGGTGCTTCTGTTAGAAGGGGCTGTGAGCCTTTCACTGAAAGAAATACATTTAATCAAAGTGTATTTGAGCTGAAAGATGAATTTCACTGGTGAGACCCAGCACTGGGATGGAAGGAAGAAGCCAGAGAGATCTTCACTGTGGGCTGTAGGCCTATGCTTTGTTCCTTAAATCACTGCACCATAAGCCTATGCATTCAGGAACTAGAGACCCACCTGAATTCATTCTCGGTCAAAGTAACTGCCCCCATAAGCCCAGACGTACTGTAGCCACTGACAGCTTCGAGACTGGTCAGCTGAGAAGGCCAGAACACTGGAACATCCCCCGGCTGACACACCACAGGCTCCCCGTAGTCAGGTTTGGCAAGATCTTTGATTCCCAACAGTCCTGCAGTGGGGGAAAAAAGAGAATTCCAAGGGTCCCGCACTGGCCGGTACCACCCAAGTTTAACACGTTGAGTAGTTTATGGTTTTTTCTCCAAGAGGAACTCTAGTCGCAGGACTGCCGTAAACTGTACTGGAGAAGGACCAGAAGGAGACCAGGAATCAGGACGTTAACAACTCAGGATGCTTGCAGACTTCTAGTCCATTTTGAGTGGCATAGTTTCAGAGCACAGAATCTCAAATGCCTGGTATGATTGTTGGAGGGGACTTGGGGGCCCAGTACTGTCATCACTGCCAGTGATTCTGAGTTTGTCTTGGTACAGACCATCACACAACCCACACAGAAACTCCACTGCTTGACCGCCAAAATGGCCCTACCCCTGTCCAGCCATCAGAGCACTCACGAGGACAGCAAAGATGGATGCACTGCATTCAATCCACCCACTAGTCATAAAACAACTCAGCAGACACTTTGCTTTGGGTGGCCTTGAGACCACCATTCTGTGAGGAAAGTGATGAGTGCTGATGGCATTTTTACAGAATGCTGGGCTTTGTCTGATTTTCTTTGTTATGCAGCTGAGAAAGTTCAGTTATGCTGAACTCTGGTTCTCACCCCAGATCCAATCCCAAGCCCGCATCAGGCCTCTGAGAGCCTCCAAGAAGCCTGGGAAGCTTCCATGCTTGGATCTGCTCACTCGCTGTCAGACTGAGTTAATACACTGGGGATCAATGGATTTCAGTTTAAGTTAACTCTTGGAAGAAAGCCGTCTCCTGCCCAAATATGCCTCTGAACAATAGCCTAGATTAGCAGTTGCTATGATTTCAAATCTCAAGACAAATAGCTCTGCTGACGTCCTCCCCCACCTGTTCCCCCCACCCCAGGTTCACTTGAAGTTCACAGGGGCTAATGGGTGAGGCTTCCAAGGGCATCACCTTCAACTCTGAAGGGCATCTGCAAACCCAGCTCTAGGACTGCTGCAGGAAGCTGGGTCTTGACCAGGGCCTTCACCCCTGGAGACCCCTGGGAAAGATGAGGACAAGTCAGGACAACTCAGGAACACAGCACGTTCCCGTCTTCCCGGGCAGAAGTCCAAGCGCAGCTGTCAGAATCATGAACGACCGTGGACACTGACCTGGGTCGCCAATGTGAACAGGTTGTCCTTGCTCACCCGCCGTGGAGCAACTGGCCTGCACTAGCCTTTCCAGCTTGTCCTTGGGAACGGGCCTCATTGTGACCACCAGAGGGCAGCAAAAACCAGCGATGGTGGCACAAGGCACGGCTGTCTGCCCAGAAATCAGAGTGAAAAAAGTTAAAAAATAGAATTAGCACAGATCGAAGCTCTGAGCAACATGAGTTCAAGGCAGCTGAATGAAGGAGGAGGTCCAAGGAGCTATCACAAAAACATAGCTTCTTTTTTTATGTGACATAGAGATGAGGACGTTTGCTGGTAATTATTGGTCTAAAAGAGAGACTCAACTTTGTGTGTGCCCTGGACCCCTTTGGTAGTCTGGTGCAGCTACGGACCCGCATAGAAGTCACATATTTAACTGAATAAAAGGAAATGCATAGAATTGCAAGGAAACCAGTTATGCTGCTAATGCAACTATCAAATTTTTTTTAATGTAGTAATGGCGATAAATATGCCTCCTTGATGACAGCTCAAGGAAGAAGACGGCAGACCCATCACTGGAATTTGGAAGTAGTGATCAATATATAGCACATTTGTGAGTTACCAGGAAGGATTACAATGGAACATGAAAATATCTTTTGATTTCTTTGGGCAGCCACATAGTCACAGGGTCTGCTGGCATGACGTTTTCACACTGCATTCAAAATGGAAGGAAATGCTCATTTTCAGTTTGAGGCTAGGAAAATCAAAATGTACTTTTTTTCCCACCTAATTTCATGGACCCTCTGAATTTTCTCCACAGACCGACTCGAGGGGACCATGGACCGCAGCGAACCACAAACGAAGGCCTCTGGGAGAATCAGAGGCAGGATCCCTGGGGTCTCCTCTGCCTCATGAGTCCACTCAGGGGATGCAGGCCTGTGCCCCGAGCCCACAGAGCCTCGCCTCACTCCTCTTGCTTCTGTGAAAGCTGCCAGGATGACCTGTGTGACTTTGACTAGCTATGTTTTTTCTCCCTGCTGGATGGTTTCTGGTCCCTGCAGTGGGGCTTATGAAGGAGGTAGGACATGGCCAGGAGGCTAATGCCCTGAGGCAGTCTGGGCGGCTGCCCGCAGGGCTTGCTGTTAGCAACCTGTCAGCAGCAGCACGAAACCTTGGTGTGCCTGCCAGTTTGGTGTCGAATAACAGCACTTGAGAGGGGGCACATGCCAGGACGCTCACAGAGGACAGGCCGTGCTCCCCCGAGGCTGAGGCGCCTCCTTCTGGGGGTGCACTTCAGCCCTCAAGGCCGCCAGCTGAACCCAAGATGCCTGCCTGGGGTCAAGGCGCAGAGGCGTCAGTGGTTGACAGAAAGCCGCCTGCTCACCACCAGGGGCCCCGAGGTGTGGAAAACCCAGGGCTCTGCTGAGCACTTACTGTGGGCAGTGATGGGCACCTCTGTGCAAAGCATCTTGTAATTGTCACACCCCCTCTAGGGGCATTTTATAGATGGGAGCCAGGGGTCCTGGGTTCCAGCCTGGTTTGGGGACTTGGGCAAGCCTCCTTCCCTCTCGAGCCTTGGTTTCTGCATCTTAAATGAAAGGCTGCACACACAAGCCCTGAGATCCTCCCAGCTCCTACCTGCTACAAGCGGAGGTGTGTGCCAGGGCCAGCCCTGCCCCCGCCCTGCCTGGGGCCCCTCCACAGCTGCGGTCCCGCCCCCACCCTTCCGGACCTTCAAGAAAACCGCTGGGGCACACGTTTAACACATGAAAAGCAGCACACGCTGTGGGCAGCCTTGTTTCTCCTCAGAGGCAGCTTGGGCCCCTCTGGCAGGAGCCCAAACCAAGCATGTTTTAATAAACGTCCTGGAGCCCTAGACAAAATCTCCCCGAGTCCTCCCTACAGGAACCCCGGGGCAGGCTGCCGACACTGGCTGACCATGCACCCCGCAGGGTAAATTCTCAGACGTCGCACAAATGTCCCAGGAGGGGTTGGTGGAAGGAGGGATCTGGTTCTCTCCCTGTGACAAGCAGTGGCTGGAATAAAACCTCAGAGTCCCCAGAGTGGGCTCATCCCAGGAGAGGCCGCCACCTCCGACCAAGAACATGACCCAGCTTTCCTGACAGAGACATAACCCAGCAGCTAACGGCCTGGCCGAGGCTCTGCCACAGATCCCTGGGCATTTACCCAGCCAGATGCATTCTGCTCGATGCCAGGGAGCTTCTTCCAAAATCTCACTGAGATGCCCTAGTTTAAAGGAGCCAGACAAATTCCAAACAGGTTGGGTTTACACAGCACAATGATCTACCCAAGAGGGCTTGACTCACGTTCTGAAGGGCACACTGGGCACTCACAGCCACCCCAGAGGTAGGCAGGAGAGAGGCTGGTGATCCCATTTTCCAGGTGAGAAAACAAGCTCGGAGAGGTTCACCACTTGTCCTGGGCTGCACAGCTAGAAAACGGCTGAGCTGAGGCCAGAGCTTTAGTCCCCTACCTCCTGGGCCAACGTTCTCCCCACAGCAGGAAAATACAAAATGACTCCTGTTTTCAAGTCATCCTGCCCCTGTGGGTAGCGTCCCTACCTTGTATGCACCCACGTGGCCATGGTCAGCTGCGTTCCTTCCAGGGAGCCCTGCTTCCTCCAAGGAGCCTTCCAGGGAGAAGCTGCGGCCCAGGAGGAAGGCCACCATGTCCTTCAGCTGCTCCGAGCACTCCTCCAGCGAGGTCAGGCTGCCCACGCAGGTGCCAAACTCGTATTTCCAGAACTGGGGACAGCCCATCCTGGGGACACAAGGGAAAGCTCACTGGCCCCCAGACTCAGCATGCTCTCTGACAACGCATTTTTAAAACGGGCTAGGGAGAGCAAAGAGGACGTCTGGGGCTGAAATTTCAGGCACCAACACTGAGGGAGGGAACACGATTTTGAGCAGGTGGCCTTGCTAGCATCCTTCAAATCTTGCCAGACTGGAAACCTTTAAATCAGCATGAATATAATGTGGCCCCTGTCCCCACCCTATTATATTTCCTGTAACCTCAACCAGAGACCAGCCAAACCAGCAAGGCAAAAACAAAGGCATCCACTCTGCCATGGAAGCAGGGCCCCAGACAAAAGGGAGGGACAGAGGGCATGTGTCTCAGGGAAGCTCTCAGTTCTAGCAGTTGAAAGGCCTTTCTCTTTCCTTAGAGAAATTCTCTTGCAGGATTGAAAGACTTCGGTTATAAGCCTAGTCTTCATTCACTCCAAAACCATTTTGCTGAGTCGGTCCTCCATACCTGGCACAGGCCAGGTGACAGCCTATAGTTATGGAGCTGACACCAGCCAGCCTTTAAGAAGCTTGAAATCCTATACTGGCAGGTGAGAGTGCATTGAAATCAGATGCTTGCAATACAGAGCAGCGAGTGTTAACAGTCTGGGTAGAGGAGTGACTCAGGGAAGGGAGAAATCCATTCTTTGCCACAAATAGGGAGGTGCTGGAGCTGGGTCCTGAAGGATGAATAGGAGTTCACCATTGGACAAGGAAGATAGCACATCCTAGGCAGAGGGAGCAATGTGTGAACAGCACAGAGGCGTCAAGCCCTATGACACATTGGGGGATCTGCTCTAGGAGCCCCTTAGATGGCAGCATGGGAGGGACTAGAGAAGAGGCAAAGGGGCTGACCTCGGGCCCAGGCAGGGGCTCCGAAGGACCCTCCCACCCCTGGAGTACACAGAGGATAACAGAAGAATGTTCCTGGGAAGGTTTCTCTCTGAGGAGAAGGCTGGGGATGACTGGAGTGTCAGGGGTCGGGGAGACACTGATTGGGGGCCTGGTCACTTACAGGTCCTCATCGGGCTAAGGTAGAAGCCATGGGAAGGCACTGAAGAACTTTAAACGGGGAAGTCACGCGATCAGATGTAGCGTTAGAAAAAGTCACTCCAGTGGGAGAGCAGATGATGGGGTGGGCCAGGGGAGTAGGAGAGGGTCAGAGTGGGCCGAGGAGGACAGTTACGAGGTCCTAAGAGTTTAGGAGAGCGATGCGAGCCCGAGCCAGCATGGTGGGAGAAATGTGGGCTTCCTGGAGTGCTATTACAGAGGCAGAATCAGTAAGGCCATTTATTCCATATGTTAGATTTAAAAGCATGAAAGAACATACATGACAGTATCAACAATGTCTATCTCTGGGTGTTGGTAATGCAGATGGTTTTATTTTCTTCTTAATCCTGTGCAGCCAGGTTTCTAGCTTGGGTGATGATGTGGATGGATGGCAGTGCCAGGGGGATTTGTCCAGGGCTGGACTTTCTTGGTGCTCGCAGAGATTTTTCCCAGGGCAGGCAAAGGGAACAGGTGTAGGAGTGGGAACTTGAGAAGGGCAGCACCTTCCTGAGCCACAGTCATGACTGGGGCTGCATGCCAGGCATGGTGGTCCCCGAGGCAGGACAAAGAGTTTCCTGGTGACAGACACCTGGCTGCAGCATCTGGCCACTCCTCAGCTTTCACTCCCAAGCCCAGGCATTTTACCTGGTGTCTGGAACAGCGCCCAGGGCAGGCAAGGTCCACTTGCCTGGCTCGCTTCGGCCCAGCAGGGGCAGAGGGCCACTGTTGGCCTGGCAGAACTTTTCAAAGGCCAGAGCAAGGGACCTGGGCAGGACCACCACGCTGGCTGGCTGGAGCCCTGGGTTTGGTGAGAGAAGGACAAAGGCATGGTCAGTTCCTTCTTATAGAGCCTTTTTAATTTAACTTTTTTATGGAAGCGTAACATACACACAGAAAAATGCATGTTAGTTTACAGCTTTATGAACTTTCACGAAAGGAAGACACTCTTGGAACCAGCATCCTGGTCAAGCAACAGTGTTATCAGCATCCCAGAACCCCCTCATGCCCCGCCTTCCAGTCCTCACCCTCCCACGCTCCCCACGACAGCAGCCACTGCCAGACATCTGGCAGCACAGGTTGTTTTTGCCTGTTCTTCACACATGTCCTTCATGTAATGGGATCGTGGTATTTGTGAGTTTTGAGTCTAGCTTCCTTCACCCCCCAGTCTGTTTGGGAGCTCCATCCATAGAGCTGCATTTAACAATAGTTGGTTTCTTCTCCTGATGTGTGGTAAATTCATTATTACAACATATTTACCCCAAACTATTGCTGATGGACATCTGAATGGCTTCCAGTGTAGGTTACTACAAATGGTGCTGCTGCGAACTGTTCAGAATGTGCGCTTTGGGCACCCATGTGTCTGGCTCTGTTTGGTACACACCTTCGATTGCAGGAAACACACTTGTTCCGATTTAGTAAATGCTACTAAGCAGTGTCCAAAGTGGTTGCACCGATCTGTGCTCCTGCTGGCGGGGTGTGAGCTCTGGGCTGCTCTGTACCGTCTCTGACACTCGGTCCTGCCTGCCTTTCTCATTCCAGCCATTCCGGCAGACAGGTGTGTAGTGGCCTCGCCCTGACGAGTAATGCGGATGAGTGCCTTTTTATGTGTTTTAGTGGCCATTCGGGTATCATTTTTGGGAAAGAAACTCTTCACGTCCTTTATTTGGGCAGGTTCATAACTGAGCAGGCTCCAGAATCCCTGACTTCCCTCCAAAGAGACAGTCTCACCGGAGCCACAGAGGAAGCCATGTGCACGCCACAACCTCATCTGGGGGGCAACCCACCAGCCTCAGTAGTGGGAAGTTCTTTGGCTTTGAGGGCAAACAAACCCGGGTTTGAATCCCGATTTTGCCCCTGGCCAGTGGTGTGACTCTGGGCTTGGTTTCCCCACGGATAAAGCGGCATAAATCACACCCACTTCAAAGAGAACTCCGTGAGTCCTTTCCCGTCTGTAAACTACCTAACACGTGAGTGTTCAGGAAGTAGGAGCTGGAGTTACATTCACTCAAGGAATCTTGTACAGACCTTTAAAATTACAGTTCAGAAGAAATATTTAATGGTATTAAAAAATGTTTGGGATGTATCATCAAAGGAACAGTACCAGGTAACCAAACAGTATGTTCAGCATATTTTCCTTTTGAAAGAAGAGAAGAGAAAGAACTAGAAGGAGATACATCGACATGTTAATCATGTATTCCCAGTGACAGGATTGTGGGTGATTTCAATTTTCTTCTTTGTGCTTTCTTCAATATTCTAAAATCTATGCAATAAATAGGTATTATTCTGTATCGGGAGGAAAAACAAGAAAATTTTGTGTTTCAAAAAAGGGGACTATTTCCTTAAAAAAAAGATCACCCCAAAGAAAAATATAATTATACTCTTTTGAAGAAATAACCTTGGTGACAAATCTCCTAAATGCCAGATTTGCTCTAGCAACATGTGGACATTTATTTTCTGCAATAATATTTGTCAGTTAATATTTCCCGAGTGCTATTATGTGCCAGGCTCCCTGTGCTGAGTAATTTATATGTGCAATCATCTGCATTTTATACAAGAGGAGGATAAGGCTCACAGAGTTGGAGTGACCTTCTCAGGGCTCCCCGCTGGGACGTGGATTCAAGGTTACATGCTGGGTTACATGCTGGGACAGCAAGGATTCAAGTCTCAGACAGGTGACCTCTGAGTCCTCCTCGGGTCACCACAGGGCTGGGGGCACAGGCCTCCCTAGCATGAGTCCACCACCCTCTCCGGGATGGTGTAGTGAGGCAGGTGTGACCCTCTGCGGGGAAAAGACTAGGACTGGCTCCTGCTCTAAGAGCCTGGAACTCATTATCTCAAACCCTGCAATGCCTGCCAACGCTACAGACTTTCCAAAGGAGGACCAACTGCACACCCCCAGCCGCAAGCCCAGGGAAGCTGGCTACATGTCTCAGGCGAGCCCAGCATGCCTCCAAAAATCATCCGGAGTGAGGAGGGAGGGAATCCTGCCAGCTCAGAGGCCTCCCATTTCCTGGCTACCCCTTTCTTACCTCCAAAGCCTGTTTCAAGAGCAAAATGGATTAATACCATAAATCACGAGGCATTAGGTGCACAAAGCTTCTCCGTCTCCTTAATTAAATGGACTTCAGAAGGCACGGCGTTCTGGTTTTGTTCATCTCCACTTCCGGTCACAGAAAGTCCCCACATTGTTCCCATGAGTAACAGGACGTGGAATAGAGGACTCCGGGGTGTCTTTTTGGAGGGGGCAGTGGACACATGACGGGAGGGACTTCAGGTCTGAAGCAATTCATGCGTCCCCTGAGTCTCTCGGCCTCCAACTAAAGTCACGACAGTGTTTTCTTTGTGGAGAGAAATAAAATGAGTCCTCTGAATCCTTTTACCCAAAAAGCAATGCACCCTCTCCTCCAACCTTTCTAAAAAACGTAATAACAAGAGGAAAACAAAAAAAGCAAAAGCCCTTTAATGTTCCTAATCGGACATGAAGTCCTGGCAGAGCTCATCTCAAGCTGCAGCGTTCCAGCTGCCCCACAGAACGCGCTGCTTTCCTCCCAGAGAAGCCACGACAGACAGCCGCTAACGTGGACCCGGCACCTCACCCATGCCGGCTCCGTGGGGAGGAGCCTGTGATCACTTTCAGTGAACAGGTGAGGCTTCACAAGGTCACACAGCCCGCCCGCAGCTATGGCCAGTAAGGAACCACGCTGGGACTCACACCCAGCCTGTCTGAGCCCCGCTGTCTCAGCACCTCCTTTGAGGTTCCAGTGAGCCTGGCTGAGTTGGTGTTCGCTGGTTCATTCTGTGTGAAGGGTTGTGGTTGACTGTTACTTGCCGACCCTCTATAAAGCACGTTTCCCAGTATTCACCCCGCTGGGAGCCCCTTCCTCCTTGATGGTGGCCTGGGCCATGTGACTTGCTTTGCTAACAGGACACGAGGAGATGTGGTGCAAGCAGAGGCTTGATATGTGCTTGTGCATGAGGGCGCATCTTCTTGGAATATTCTCTCATGGAGGCCTGAGATACTCCGTAAAGAAGTTTGGCTTCCACTGCTGGAGAGACTTCTTACAGTGAGGAATGTGAGGGCTGGTCCCAGCGGTTCCAGCCACCCCAGGGGACACTCCAGACATGTGAGGAGGAAGCCATCTTGGTGGTCCAGCCCCAGCAGACACCACATGGAGCAGAAGAACCACCCAGCTAAGACCAGCCTCAGTGCAGGACTACGGTTGAAACCACTGAGTTTGGGGGTGCTTTGTTATTCCACAATAGAAAACTGGACCCACAAATAGCGACAGAGGCCAGTCTCATAAACGATGAAAACTGTCCTGCTTTAGTCCTTTACTCTGTGCTGCTGCTGATCTCACTGTAAACAGAACAGTCTATCTTTACTGTGAAATTTTGCTGGGACTCGGGTCTGTTTTCTCCTGAGGTCCTTCTAGAGCCCTGGGTGTCACTCCTGGGAGACAGCAGGGAGATGGGTGCTGCCCAGAGAAGAACACCAGTCCAAGGAGGGAGGCTTGAACTGAATCAAAACCAGAATAAAACACAGCGTAAACTGGGGGCACTGTTCCTGGGAGGGAAAACCTTTTCATCACTTGGGGTCACTGGTGGTTCTCCCCGTGGAGCTTGGCGACCAAGCAGAGCTGGATGGTACTAGACTTCACACCCGAGTCTGGTCCAAGGGGCTGACTCCTTCTGGGACGTTAAGCAGTGACCAAATGGAGAACTGCATTCTGCTGTTACTCTCTGTCTCCCATGCAGAAGCCAGAAGTCTCAGGAACTCCTGGGACTTAGCTTTCTGGTATTTCCAGGGAATTTTTTTTAACATCTAGCACCACTCACCTTCAGCTGAGCTGGACATGTTTCTGATGTTTGCGTTCTTCTGTAGAATCAAACTCCTTACGGCAGAGGGAAGGCAGGACTTCCGGAGGAGAGTGAAGGTCATCATGTCACTCTTGACTAGGCCGCAGGGAATCTGGGTGAGGGGACGGAGAGGAGCAGATAAGAAGGCACAGCTCCCTGGGAGGCAGGTGGCAGCTGCGGTATCAGGGCTGCTCCTGGCCCTGTCCCGGGATGGCTGCCATTCAGAGCAAGTGCTCTCCCCACCCGCACCCCTTCCTCTGTCCCCGAAGGCCTCTCCACTCCTCAGAACTAGCTCAGAATCTTCGATCTCTGTGAAGCACCAACAGGCTCGCGCTGGCAGGTGCAGGGCTGCCTTGCCTCCGAAGGACCCAAAGCATTCTCTGAGCCACTGATTTGGACTTTGGAGTTACAGTTGGCTTGAGGTTCTACTTGACTCTGAACCCCCATTCTCTTTCCCAAGGAGACCCCAAGTGCCTAGATGGCAGGGCCACAATTTAGGGCTCTTCCACGGGCCCCACAGCACTTATCACAGCCGAAGCACACAGCACACAACAAACCCACTTAGGAGTTAAGGGAGAAATGCATGACTGCCACGTGCAATCACAAAGCAATTAATAGGCCGGATTTTCCGTCTACGTATGATTTCTGATACTTAGTTTTAGGTCCTAGAAGGTAGACACTTTATGTTTTCTTCTTTATATTGCTGCTCCCACCACTGGTCTAGGCACAGGGTCTTACACAGATTTTTGGTGAATGAATCAATACTATAAATTTTAAAATACAGAGATAGTTTCAAAGCTCCAAGAAATTATGCTCAGAAAGGAATCCTATAAACTGACTTCCTACACTCTAGAAAGAGAGGTGTCAATGTGTCAGCAAAATCTAGGGCTAGAGAGACACACTGTGTTGGTCTCAAAGGCACAGCCCATGTCTTCCTCATCTTCCTCATCATACTACATGCCTAGCATAGTGCCTGGCACAAAGGTGGGAGTTCCTAAGTGTTTGTTGAATGACTGACTGACTGGAGAATGGATGAAAGCAGGATTCAAGGGCAGTGTCGACAGTGAAGGTTCTGGACAAGCTTGATTTTCTACAACTCTTTCTATCTACAAAGAGCCCAATCAGATTCCAAATCACCGATTTCACCTCTAATCTGCTACATAGAAAATCACGTAAACCCCATGGCCATTATGATGAAGAATTTGAGCATGTACAAAATCTCTAACAAACAGAACATAAAACATACTGCCCTGAAAGGGGTAGAGATATATTTTAAACTGACAGCAGGTGCTTTCGGAGCTGCAGGAACACAATGCTGTGGGGGCACAGAGGAGAGAACAGTTGGTCCCTGCAGGCTCGGGCGGGGGTGCTGGGAGGGTCAGGTGAGGTTGGATTCATACCCCAGTTGAAGATCCTGAGGCTTAAAGCAGCTGCTTTGGCAGGTCAAGCCTGTACTTGCCTGTTGGACTGAGAGAGACCGCCTGGGCTCCAGTAGGCCTGACTTCTTAGCCAAGCAGCCAAGGCTCCAGTTAAGGTCCTGGATGTCTGTGGTTCCCTGGAGTCACCGTGGAGGGCTTAGCACCTCAGCCAGGCACTCAGCAAAGATCGAAGAGAGAACTATTTCCTAACCATGTGGGGACAGGGGCCAGACCTCTCTGATAACTGTCCTCACTTGGTATCTGGAGGAGAGAATGAAGTTTACCCCAAACGCTATGACATGGGAGACCCTACAGGTACCTGCTAGGCTTCACCCCCCATTAATACTCTGTAAGGCAGAAGAGGCAAGCTGGGTGCTGTTCTGCAAATAAATTGTACCCAGAAGACCAAAATCTGAGAGTTACTGCCTCTTCTTTCCTTTATTTATTTATTGTTTTAATATAAATTTAAGTAGATCTATGTAATTCCTGTAATAATGTTACTTTCCTAGCCTGGAGATGGATAAGTGCAGCTGGAAGTCCTGCCCTGTGAAATGCATGCTGGGAGTGTGCCAGGCACTTGAATGTCACCTGCCAGGCATGCTGGGGTGGGGGTGAGAAGGCTGAGAACCCCCACCTACTGGGTCATTCCCTTGAAGGCAGGGGCCTAACAGAGCATGAAATACATGCTCATTGGCTCCTGTCAAAGAAATGCTGTCAATATACCAACTGGAGAATGTCCAGTCATAAAATAAATGATAGCACTACAACCACATAGGGGAGACCACGGTGGGCCAGGCACTGTGCTAGGCCCTTCACCCTCATTGATTTACAACCATTGGTTCCTCACCACTGCCCAATAAAGAAGGCACTGCTAATGCCACTATAAACAAGGAAACTGGGGCTCAGGGAGGTCAAAGAAGTTACTTAAAGTCCCATATATAGGAGGTGGTAGAGCCCCAATCCAAAAGCAAGTCTCAGTTCATGCTTGCTTGTTGGATATCTACTCATCGATATCAGTGGGTCTATGTATCCATCCAGCCTCCCATCCACCATGTATCCTAGTAGGAATCACATCCTCAGTGTCTCAGGAACAGTAGGGACCTTCTCCCTTTTCCCCACAAGGTGATTCTGGGGCCAGAGTTCAACCATATTTCTTTGTGGACTGATCCCTGAGCTCAGGCTTCTCAAGGCCTCTGCGCACTCACTGCTGAGTGGCTCAGGTGCTGCACTGCCCAGCGAGGTCTCCCTCTAGGAGTGAGGCAAGATGGGATCCAATCAGTGAGCCTTGATCAGACTCCAAGAAGCCACCTTTCTGCTGTGAGGCCCCTCTTTTCTCTTTGGAGAATAACAAACTATCAATCCCACAAGTATCACTCCCTAGAGGTGGGGGGCCCTTGGACAATCCATTCCTGAGCACAATCTAACCCACCCAAAAACCCCAGTGTGAAAAAAATCTCGTCAATGCCTGTCACAGATGACTGAAATTCTACCATTAGAAAGTCAGTCCTCTGCTTTACCCAAGCAATTCAGTTCTGGGAATGTAACCTCCAGACGTGTTCAAAAAGTGGATGGGATAGTGTGAGTACATGGTAGCACTATTTGTAATAGAAACAACCTAATAGAAATTGATTAAATACATGGAGGACTGGTTAAATAGAGGAGTAGCTAAACTATGGTTACACCCACACCCTACACAGATCATACGTAACTAGAAAAAAGAATGAGTTACTCTGTACCCCTCAAATGAAGCACTCTCCCGAAGATATAAAATGAACAGAGCAAGGTGAAGAATTCTATGCTGAATAACACACACACAACTGGTCAGTTCAAATGCAGATAGACCGGCTCTGGAAAGATGGGGAAGAGCTTGGAATCAGTGGTGGCTGCAGAGTCGGGAGATTGGGCGGATGGGGGCCTGAGCAGGAGCAGCGGCTGCCACATTATTTTATGTGAATGGCGCCCTCTGGAGTTGTGCCACAGCTGGCCCTGGTGGAAGAGGGACTTTCTGCACCTTTGAATAGCACAACATGGAAGTATTACCTAACACAAAAATGGAATTTAATTTAAACATATATTAGGAAGGTAGAATCAGGTCCTTTTTAAAGAAGTAAACATTACAATAAAATAAGTTATTCCTTATACTTCTGAGGATTTGGGTCACTCAGTTTTTTCATTCATTCAGGAAATATTTATTTAGTCCTGACCTTGTGGGGTATGCTGAGTATAGGGAGGTGAGTAAAACAGAACTTATCCCCATTTAAAGGCAAGTATGTCTGGGAGTGTGAACCCCACAGAGACAGTGACAACAGCTACCACTTAGTAAGTGCCTGCTTGGTACCCAGCATCCAGGTCCAGTCCATCACCCATCCAGGCAACAGGCATTGTGGTACAGAGCACAGTTTCGGGAGTAGATGGTCTGGGTTCTGAACCTGCCTCTACACCTAAGAGGGAATCATTGACCCCCTGAGTCTATTTTTTCATCTGTAAACAGGGACTAATAACAGTATGTTCCTCATTGAGTTATGGTGAGGATTAAATTAGCTGACACTTGTGAGGTTCTCAGAACAATTCCTGGCCGGGCCCATAGTTAGCACCGTGGAAACACTGTGCATGTTTATTGCTCCTCACCCGCCCGGCTCAGCACCTGCTGCAGATACAGCAGGAGTGAGACAGTCCCAGCCATGCTCACAAAGGGTTTACATCCCTGGAGACAGACATTAAACACATAATTACCATTGTGTCTGTCTCCCAGGGAAAGACAGAAAAGTAAATACGTAACTCTGCACATGCTGTTCTGAGCGCTCCTGGGCCAGATGGACTGCAGGTGGAGAAGGAAATGGGGCTGAATCTGAAAGGAAGAGTAGGGCTCGGACTAGCAGAAGGGTGGGGAAGGAGGGTGCTCTCGGCCGGGGCACAGCAGGAGCAAAGGCAGGGAAGCACCTGGAGGGAACCAGCTTCTGGTCCTGCGGAAGCATATGATGCAAGAGAGGAGGTGTGGGAGCAGGGGCTGAGAAGGGGAGCAGAGGCCAGCTCACTAAGGAATTTGGATTTATCCCCAGAGCGATGGGAAATCACAAAGGTTTTCAGCAATCAAGTGACCTGGAAAGACTTGCCTTTTATGAAGATGGTTCTGGCTACAGGTAGGGGATGGACTATGAGGCAGGCAGAGTGGAAGGCTGGCAGACGAGAGAGGAGGCCAGGCCAGAGAGATGAGCATCTAGAAAGTCTCCCTCCCAGAAAAGAACCTTGCAGGAGAGAGGCTGCCTTAGTCTGTCGTGTGCCCTTCTGAACCAGCCAGTGCTCAGCACGCTTCAGGGAGCAGCTGAGGCTGCACCCATGAAGCGGGGGACAAGGGATCACACACACAGGGGTTTTCTATTTCCCTTCAGTTCGGCCAGGATGGGAATTTTGGCAGACTGTTTTATTCCAGCACCTACAACAGTGCCTGGCACACAGAAGCCACCCAGTAAATTTCCACTGTTGATGGGGGGTGGGGTGGGGGAGGGCAGAGCAAGCAGAACGTCCAAAGACAACCAAGATGAGGCAGCCAGGGATGCAGGAGAGAAACCAGGTGGCTCAGCAGCCAAAGAAGCAAGTGTTTCAAGGAGCAATTTGTGGTCATGGAGGTCAAGGAAGATAAAGCCCAGCAGGCATCCACGGGATTTTGTAACCCATGCTCTTTCTCCGTCACTGC